AAATTTTGAAAAAAAAAAAAAAAAAAAAAAAAAAAAATTTAAATACCTCCTTACTGTTTATTTACACCGTTTGTAAACTCCAGATACTGCTCCTTCTCTTGTTATATAGTTAAAACAAATAAACAAACAAGCAAAAAACCCAAACCCAACAGTCAACAGGTTGTACTTTAGCCTTTGGCACAGAATACACTATTTTACTGCATTTTTTATTACAAAAAAGGTTTTGGGTTTTTTTCTTCCTTGAGTATAAACCATACTAAAGCTATTACATTTTTATTAGAATTCTTAAAACTCTTTTTACTTTTTAACTTTAATATTGTTTAAAAAAAAAAAAATCATAAAGCAACTCTTCACTTCTGTCACAGATAATGGAAATAACAGCTTCTGGAGTCAACAAATTTATTAAGTAATTGTGACTATTTCTATTTTATTTATAAATTATATAAATTTATCTATATTTGTGTGGATATAATTATATCTTTATCTACCTCTGTAGCTCTGTGCATGTTTCTATATTTTATGAAGTTTCTAATTTAAATATTTAAAAATAATTGGTGTGAAAACCACTGTATATTTAAGATGACAGATTTAAGTGGGTTTATGTTTCCAGAGGTAAAAAAGCAAACTGCACCATTCAAATGAAAGTCATTAGTCATTAATTTACTCTCTTATAAATGTGTTCTAATAAATACACAAAAGATTCTTCTATTAAAATAGTCCTGGACTTGTTGAGTTCCCCTTTTATTATCATCTATGCAAATTCTGTCACAGAATTCCAGCAGAAACTGCTAAGAAAAAAAAGTTGTTTCTCCATCAGTCTTAAAACTCTACGATATGTGTAAAGGAGGAAGGAACAAATTACCAGTCTATCCTCTAAAAAAACTGCCACTACTGCTTGCATAGACTCCCAAATCCACCATTTTTGCTATACTATAAATGACACAATATTTTATAAACTGTAGATGTTTTAAAATTGAATGATGGCAGAAAATAATTTAAAAAGTAATCAAGATGGCAAAGTTGAAAATGTGGCTTTCCTGTACTAACTTGTCAGTTCTTGAAGTCCTGAATTGTAGATTCCATTTCAGTCTCAATTTGACCTCCACAGTGATGTGAAGAAATAGCATTTTGTCAGTTAAGTGTTTTTTTGGGTTTTTTTTAAATTTAGCACATTCAGCCTACTTATCTTGTATGTGTCAAAACAATTTGTGTAAATGATGTTCCACACCATAATAAAAGATTTTCATGTGCAAAGAAGTCTTTTGTGCATGTGTAAATGCTGTTGGGCTTTAGAGCAAATAACTGGAAATGTCCATCAAAAGCATCTAACGGTTTGACTGTGATAAACATTAAATAGAGCAACAGGGTAGTTCAAGGAAGACTGACTAGCTACACAATAGACAGACTGTTGAGTTACGTAAATTACAGCATGATTCAAGTGAACCAAACCCCTTAATTCAACAAAATTCTAAAGTTCTCAATACAAAGAAGAAAGGAAGTTCCAAAACCAATGTTCTTTGATGAAAAACACAAGTTTACTGTGATTTAATTAATTGTAAATAAGTAAAATGTATGCATTCATGATAATATTAATGTATAAAAGCATTGAGAAAAAAAAAGGTGGCTCCATTTTCAATATGAATTGAAACAAAATAGCTTTTTTTGCTTTCCACTAGGAGTTCTAACACCTGTAGTTTAAATATGCTTTCAGTTTAGCTGGAAGCCAAAGTTTAAGCTTTGTATGCTACCCTTCCTTAAATGATGTCAATGTCATTTTAAGGATTCAAACATTTGTTTGAATTTTACTTCACTGTCTACTTTTTGAAAACTGATCTTGCAGCATCTGCTATCATTTTTCCATCTCAACTAAATTTTTACAACAAATAAGAATTTTCACACTTCACATGGCTATCAGAACAATGAAAATAGAATAGCGAAAAAAGCAGAGATCTACATACCTTGTTCAGTAAATTTATAACATAAAGCAGATCACCAAGAACTACTGGATCCAATCTCTTAGTGGATTAGCAATCAAACTGAAGTTGAAGTATAGTACAGAGATTACACTTCATAAGATGTCGAATTACATCTTATGTCCATCATATCTAAAAAATCATGGCAATCAGGTGAAGTTCCTGATGACTGGAAGAAGGGTAATATAACCCCCATTTTCAAGAAGGGGAAAATGGAAGACCCAGGGAACTACACATCAGTCAGTCTCACCTCTGCGCCCGGCAAAATCTTGGAGCAGATTCTCCTGGGAAGCATGCTAGGCACAGGAAAAACAACGAGGTGGTTGGTGACAGCCAACATGGCTTCACTAAGGGGAAATCCTGCCTGACCAATTTGGTGGCCTTCTATGATGGGGCTACAGAACTGATGGACAGGGGCAGAGCAGTTGACATCATCTACCTGGACTTGTGCAAAGCGTCTGACACTGTCCCACGTGACCTCCTTGTCTCTAAATTGGAGAGATATCAATTTGATGGATGGACCACTCAGTGGATAAAGAACTGGCTGGATGGTCACACACAAAGAGTTATGGTCAACGGCTCAATGTCCAGTTGGAAAACAGTAATGAGTGGCCAAGCTGGGCAAAAGCCTTGGGGGCCAA